TTGTGTGGTTTACATGTAGTTAAATAATGATTACAGAGTGTACCACTAGAACGCCTAGCATGGCTAGGCATTTCGGGCAGACTTAGTTTAATTTTTTATTTTAAAATATTACAAATTATGAGGTAAGCTGGTATTATGGCTAAGTGACTAAATACTAGTTTGTGAGTTTAGCAATGTGAATGCTTTTGTTTTGGCACAGTACATAGTTTCAGTATTGGAGTATCATAGGATTCATTATTTTAAGATTGAGATTAATATTTCTGTTTATGGTCAAATGGGTGAGTGAGTGTAAGTGTGAACCACCAGGTGGTATTCGTGTTAGTTGATGGGGTGTATCAGGGAGATAAGATGTTTTCTAATGGTAGTTTTGAAGGTGATGAATGTGTCTGCAGTTCTAGAGTTCTCAGGTAGGGTGTTCCAGATTTTAGGGCCTTTGACATACATTGAATTTTTGTAAAGGTTTAGTCGGACACGGGGAATGTCATAGAGATGTTTGTGTCTGGTGTTGTGCCTGTGGGTTCTGTCACAACTATCAAGAAAGCATTTTAGGTCAAGGTTGATATTGGAGTTTAAGGTCCTGTAGATGTAGATTGCACAGTAGTAAGTGTGGATGTACTGAACAGGGAGTAAGTTTAGATCTATGAAGAGTGGGGGGGAGGGGGGGGTGTTGCCAGGGATGGGATTTAGTGATTATTCTTACTGCAGCTTTTTGTTGGATTATTATTGGCTTTAGGTGTGTTGCTGCAGTTGATCCCCAAGCACAAATAGCATAGGTAAGGTATGGATATATAAGTGAATGGTATAGTGTGATAAGGACAGTTTGCGGCACGTAGTATCGTATCTTGGAGAGGATCCCAACCGTTTTGGATACTTTTTTGGTTATGTGTTGGATATGGGTGCTGAAATTCAGGTTGTTGTCAAGGTATAGGCCTAGGAATTTGCCCTCATTATGTCTGGTAATTAGAGTGTTGTCGATCTTAATGTTAATTTGTGCATCTCCTGCTCTGCTACCAAACATAATATAGTAGGTTTTGTCAGTGTTAAGCGTAAGTTTATTGGCTGTCATCCAAGTCGATATTTTGATCAGCTCCTCATTAACAATGGTGTTGAGGGTGGCAAGATTAGGGTGAGAGATGACATAAGTCGTGTCGTCAGCAAAGAGAATGGGTTTCAGGTGTTGGGATACGTTTGGAAGATCATTGATGTATATGAGGAAGAGCAGGGGACCAAGGACACTTCCCTGCGGAACTCCAGTATCAAGTGGCTGTGTTGTTGATGTTGTGTCTTTAATGGTGACATACTGATACCTATTAGTAAGGTAAGATTTGAAATAAGCAAGCGCATGGCCTCTTATACCGTAATGGTCAAGTTTGTGGAGTAGGATGTCGTGGTCTACTGTGTCAAAAGCTTTTCTTAGGTCAATAAAAATTCCTAGTGGATATTCCTTATTTTCCAATGCTGTGTAAAGCAGATCTAGCATTTTTATGATTGCATCATTAGTGCTTTTATTTTTCCTGAATCCAAATTGGCAGGGGTTGAGTATGTTTTGTGTTGTTATAAATGAATATAGTCTCCTGTGCACGAGTTTCTCAAAGATTTTGGATAGCAATGGTAAGTTTGATATTGGCCTATAGTTGTTTAAGTCTGTAGGGTCACCACCTTTATGTATTGGTGTAACTCTTGCCATCTTGAGTAGTTTCGGGAAGGTGCTAGTTTCTAGTGACTTGTTAAAAAGTAATGAAATAGCATGCGAAAGGATATGGGCCGCTCGCTTGTACAGTAATGGTGGGACATTAGACAGATTCCCTGAGTTGTTTTTAAGTGACTTTATAATCTCGGTGACTTCTGAGGGTTCAGTTGGTGCAAGATAGAAGGAATTTGGGAAATTCCCATCAAGGTAGTCCCCGGCATAGGCATTGGTATGTGGGATTTTATTGGCGAGATTAGATCCTATGGTTGAGAAGAAGTCGTTTATCTTGTTAGCTGTGTCAGTGGGATGTAGTGGTGTTTCATTAGGTTTAGTTAGGACAATATTCTTGGTTTTTTTCAGTTTGTGGGTCCCTAGAATCTGAGAGAGTGTTTTCCAGGTCTTTTTTATATCTCCTCTAGCGTCTGTGAATCTACTGGAGTAGTATAGTTGTTTGGCTTTCTTTATTACTTTGGTGAGAACTGATGAATAGTGTTTAAGAATATCTTTGTGTATTAAGCCCTGTCTATATTGCTTTTCATATTGGTGTTTCTTGTCAATGGATTTCAGAATGGTACTGGTTAGCCATGGGCAACCAAGCTGTTTGTTTGTGATCTGTTTCATTTTTATAGGACAATGTTTGTTGCATAGTCTAAGTAATTTGTTAAGAAAAATGTCTGTCCAGTCATCAATACCATTGGCCTTCGAGAATTCTGTAGGCCAGTCAACAATCTCTAGGTCAGCTGTGAACTTCCTTATTGAGGCCTCGTCATGGAGTCTAAATGAGACTTTGTTGAATTCAAGTGGTGGTTTACTAATGTTTGTCAGGAGGAAGGTAGGGTAGTGGTCTGTAGTGCTATCTGTGATTATCCCTGATTTAAGGGGGGCTAGTATATTGGTCCATATGTGGTCTATTATGGTTGCACTTGTCTCAGTGAGCCTGGTTGGTTTAGTTATTGTTGGTATGAGAAGTGTGTTGTTCATATTGTTGATGAAATCAGTTACAGGCTGATCATCTAGTAAGCCAAGGTTGATGTTGAAGTCTCCAGCTAAGAGAAGGTGATGCTTATTCATTTGTCTGTTTGTTATTAGTGACTTTAATTTCTCACTGAAATTTGGGATGTTTGTGTGAGGTATCCGGTAAATGGCACCGATTGTTATAGGTGTCTTAAGGTTTTTTACAGTAAAATTAGCAAAAATGTATTCTCCATATTCATCACTAAAGCAAGTGGTGCTAATACAAGATAATTGGTTAGAGTAATAGATTGCAATACCACCCCCAACTTGGTTTGGTCTGCAGTTGTGAATTGCTGTGTATCCTGGTAGAGGGTAGATATCTATTGTGTCCTGCTTAAGCCAGGTCTCAGTAAGAATAATGCAGGAGAAGGGTGTCTTTAGTGATTCAAGAATGTAGACAGTGGGGTCAGAGAAGACCTGTGAATTCCATTGGTGTCCCATGGCCTCATAGGCAATGCTCTCACTTCACATGCTGAGTGTCCATGGTTCAATCCCCGGCAAGGGTGGAACCATTGGGCATTTCCTTACGCCTACTGTTCCCGTTCACCTTACAAGCAAGTAGGTACCTGGGTGTTAGCTGACTGGTGTGGGTCGCATCATGGGGGACAAGACTGAAGACCCTAATGGGAATAAGACAGACAGTCCCACGATGGTGCACTACCTTTCTTGGGTTATCCTGGATGGCTAACCCTCTAGGGTTAAAAATCCAAAAAAAAATCTCATCATATCTCACATTGGTCTTTAGCTGCATAATTGGAGTGTTGAAGTGGCAAATCCGCAAGCCTTCAGGGCACAATCTTGGGCTATTAGAAGTTTGAGAACAAGAATATGAAAAAACTTCAATCGATCTTCATTGACTTGAGACTGAGGGAAACTGACACCAGTCAGTCCACATATAATCATTCAATCATGCAAGAGGAGCTACATGTCTATGGTGCATCCAACAAAATCAGCTGGCTCTGGCTGGGCCACAAGTACAGGTACAACACTGATTTACTAGCAATGGATCATCCAGTAACTCTTTTAGTCCAGACAAAATTAAGAGACTAATTTTTTTTTCCCAAAATAGTTTACCTGGTGGTCACAGATGGAGTTGTATGTAGTGTGTGCTCACGTATATTCTTTACATTGCTAATGATTAACCCTAACTATGGTTAGTGATAGCTCTGCAGCTCCAGCAAAATTTTGCAATTTATCACTTTGGGAGTGGTAGTACTGCAACATTTTTTTTAAGTACAGTAATAAATAAATAAATAAATAATATTGGCAGTTTGGAGGGATATGTTGTGTATCTTTATACGTATATGCTTATAAACTGTTGTATTCTGAGCACCTCTGCAAAAACAGTGATTATGTGTGAATGTGGTGAAAGTGTTGAATGATGATGAAAGCATTTTCTTTTTGGGGATTTTCTTTCTTTTTTGGGTCACCCTGCCTCGGTGGGAGACGGCCAACTTGTTGAAAAAAAAAAAAAAAAGTAAATAAATAAATAAGCCCATTTCATTTATGTTAATGTTTAATTTAAGTTCCCAACAGACCATGGTGGGTCAGAGGTGCATTGCTAAATTATTATCATGCAACATCTGTTGGTTCGGCAAAATCGATATGCACTGGCAAATCCCAGGAACCAAGGGTCCCAGAAGATCAGTGTTGCACCTGTATCACTGGAAGGTTGCATCAGCATTACCAGATGATGTAGATATAACTAAATATAAATTTTGTCCAATGAACTATTGCTACACCTTGCATCATGTGCTGGAATGCGATGAACTTAATGATTAATTCAAAGACAACTTGCAAGTGTTCAAGAAATGTCAGTATTTTATCTACAGTGACATATTACCAAACATTCTGGAAAAATGCCCTGATTTTGTCTATTGTGGATTACTCATAACCACTTAAATTAGTTTAAAATCAACTATACTTACTTTGCTTAAATAATTCAGAACCATATACATGTACATGTATGTATATGCTATACTGTAATATTTTAAAATTATAATTTTAAACAGATATTAGCATATGAATAGTTCATTACTACTTGTTTAGCTATCAAAACTTTGTGGGCCAGTCTCTGGACTCATTATGTGCTTATGTAATTGTCTGACAATACCCATACCACCCACAGGATGGGTATGGGTATTGGGTGCATAATAAAGATATTAAACTAACTTGCTGTTACAGTATATAAACTAAATTACTGTTGCAGGACATAAATGAGGGGCATCTAGCCCTGATCAGTTAGACTGTTGGTGTTGCCATGTACGTAATAGTCTATAAGGACATAAATTCAAAATTTCATCTTTAACAAACACATTTAATATTAATCTTAACATATAAAGCTTGTACAACTAATGCATACTTTAGGAATGCCCACATTTGTTGTAGAATGAGGAAACATTACATTCAGTAATTAAAAATAATATTAAATATGCAAAATACAATCTTTTGGAAAAACAAAGCTGCCTTTATTGGTTGAACATTTTAATCTTGAAAGTTTTTTTTCACAGCCATTTTGAAAAAATAAAAGCCATAGATTGACTAATTAAGACGAAGCAGATGTACACTGGCAGCCATTCCTTACAGAATTACTGTTATGTATTTTGATTGTTATTATAGAGACATGTTCTTCAAGGAAGATGCTTTGATGTTGGTAAAGAGATCTTAATCCAAAGAATCAAAGCTACCCTTCCCTTCCTTGGATCAAACATAATTACCTCTTGTTCCCTGTGACAATAATTATAGTACGTAATATGATTATACAGTTGTTATAATTAAAAGTAATATTATCACAAAATATGTCAGTAATTGCTTATGGTTCAATACTTGAAATTACTGTCTAGTAAACTAAAGGAATTAATTTACAGTTGGAAGACTAATAAGTAAGATCCCCACCAGAAACCCTATAGGGGTACCTTAATGCTGATGAAGGTCTCTTGATCTATGGAACTAGAGCTACCCTCTCTTCCTTGGCTCAAAGCTGACTAACTTCCATTCCCCAAGCACTGTATGACCTAAACTTATGAAAATACTGTTATAATAACATCAGCCAGTAAGGTAAGCACTTTGTGGGTTACAACTAAAGTGGCCACTATGATTTAATCATTAATATACAGTATTTGTTAGAGGCAGCAAAATATAAGATGCCAGTGAGGGAAAGGAATGGGACTTTATCACCCCTTCCTTGGATTAAACCTGAAAGCCTCCCATTTCCCAGACATTATATAACCTCCTACAGGTTTAATACTTCCCCAAGAATAAAATGAAATATGTATTACTGAAGTAGATAACAAGATTGTTAAATATATTAAGGCACATTTTTTTACCTTCCTCATGTAGCACTGAGTAGGTTACAGAATTTGATATGCAGTACTGTAATTGAAGATTGATTTTTTCATTGCATCAAACCTTTTCTTGCAAATAAAGTATAGTATGTACTTCAATCCTTTCACCCATGTAATCAGAAATGATGACAATTTTGTAATTTTTTAAAAATATGTATTTTTTTTCTTTTGAAATGGCAGAGAATCTTTCTCTGGAGGTAGTGGCACAAAAAAAAAAAGAAATTTGATGGAAAATTTATAGAATTATGCAGGTGCAAATTTGGCAGTCTGGGTGCAATTTATGCATCAGCAATTTTGCCCACTTTGAGTCCTATTTTAAACCAACTCCTTTCCTCAATTTGACTAAATTCATAGCTGTTTTGCTAGTATGTCTTCTGTTCTATCAATTAAGTACAAGAAACTGCCCACTGATCTATCAAAACTTCCCAACAGAGTGCAATTTGGCCAATTTTACACAGAATTCAACAAATTCCAATTTAAAAACAGAATCCAAAATAAACACTGTATGCATTCCAGCAACTAAAGCAACCTATCTTCTGTACATTAATCACATTTCCAGGAAACTCCTATAAAACACTTACCCTCCTTTTGAATCTATCATCACATGAAAAAGGTAGAAATTTTACTCTATTTCTCGGATTTCATAAAATCTAACTGGGAATGATTTGTCATGGTTTAGGACATCCCATTTAAAGCAGACCTAGTGAAAATCCATAAAACAGACTAGGGAGGTAGGGGGCCTTACCCTTCCTCAAGAAAATCATCAAAAATCGAATACGTACTGTATTTCTGCTACTTTTAGCCCTATTTCAAGCTACATCTGTCTTGAAACTGACCATTCTGTCAAATGATATCAAGAAACATCCAATAAAACCATCCTAGAAAACACCTCAAAGTCACTGTTTTTAAAGAATGGGGCAGGATTTTTTTTTATACTGTGCACATTCACTGTGCAGACTCATTCTCCCATGCCTAGGCCAAAATTCATCACTCACAGCATGTCTGAGGACGTTGTGCTTAAAACATAGATCTACATGGGCAACACTGGCATAAACAACAAAGATCTAGATAAGAAACAGTGAAAGGGTTAAAAAGGCTTATAATAGTATTTATGTTATGAACCTCACTCTAGTACTTGAATTTTTAAAAATATCAATAATTTTTTTGTTTGAGCTAAACTTATCATTTTAACATCCTTCCACCCAAACAATAACACTAGTGAGCATATTGATAGATTTACATCTTAAGGATGATTCAGGTATACCTAGAGTATACCTGGAGAAGGTTTCAGGGGTCAACGCCCCTGTGGCTCGGTCTGTGACCAGGCTTCATGGTGAATCAGGGCCTGATCAACCAGGTAGGTTTAAATTGTTAGTAAAAAATATTAGACATTAACATTAGGTAATGAGATTTGGTGTATTGTGAAAGCTAGCATTTCCTAGTACAAGCAAAGTGAGATGGGGGTTCACAAGGCACAAATTCGACCTTCTGGTACTAAAAGTGGTGGGGGGTAGGAACTCGGAGGAGCTCAGAGACCTACGCTGTCTTCAAAATACTGCCTGGTGATCAACGAGAAGGCTTCCCCGAAGTACTGTGGATATTTGTCTCCTCCCAGGCTTCCGTAGTGAGTCAATTCTCTGTTTTCCTCTTAGTATTTAGTTGGCCAATGGTATTTTGGGTAATGCAGGATAATTTATCTATGGGTTATTTGCAAGTAGACAACCAACACTGAGGTAGGTAGAATTAATATTGCAAAAGAATTACCCCTTGAATATTAGACCAGAAGCTAGTATCCCTTTGTGTACATAAATATTAGATCGGGATAAGCCAATGAATTTAGGGGTCCCTCAAGGTGTAGGCTAGGGATACTAGCCCAATTTAAACTACCTGCAGGAATTATTTCTCCTGAGCACATGGTGTCTTGGAGAGTAAGAAGACAACAGGAACCTAGATTAGCCTGGGAGAAATCAGGGGGTTTCTAGCCAGTATAGACTCTATAGTAATGTAAGTCTGTTCTAGTTTGTGTATATCGATAGGAATTTTCTTCACTGTAGTTAATTCTGAAAAGAAATGTATCCTCGGAATGCTTGTGAGAACAAGACCCTAGGGGTCTTGTGTTATCTGTGTCATCAGTGACTGCTAGAGTGGGCATCTCACAGGTTCCCTGTAACATTAATTCTTGGGAATAGCACAGTTGTTTGTACAGGACTAATGACATACAGTAACAAACTGTTGCACTTTAATGAAAAAGCTGCCACTGTACTTCATTTTGATCTAGGCCAGTGTAGTACTTTTAAATGGTTGGTTGGTTTACTGACATTAAATATCAATATGATAATGGTATATAATACTGAGAAGAAGATAGGTAGTTTACAGCCTATTGATGACATAAGGGTAATCAAGGCTGCATATCACCAATCAAGTATACTTCAATCCCTAAAACAAGAATTACAGTACAGCATATTCTCTACATACCAGTATACGTATGCACCTTTCAGTGTACATGCCTTTGAGTGAGCTGCATCTGCATCTGTATGAAATGTTAAGGCTGATGTTTGGCAATTATAATACAGAATATGCACTACTAATGGAGAATTGCTTTTTATATATATGCAGTACTGCATTCAACAAATGTATAATCATAATACTACTGAATATGTATTACGTAATGTAATGTGAAAATCCATGATCTATCTTCCAGAGTTCTTCTGAAGACAAGAAAATTTTTGAAAGTATATTTGGCCAGGTTCTGGAGTAAACCAGTGGAATCCTGACCATTTTTACCCCTAGTCAAGACTAGTAAAAAAATTTCATCCATTTCTAATATATTACCTGTTTCACTCAACCTTTTAATTTCTGTGAAATGACAGAAGAAAAATTCAGAAAAGTTACTTTGTCACACATCCTCACTTGATATACATAGAGGTGCATTTGTTTAACAATATAAATGAGCATACTACTAAAACATGGCACCTTTACCTTACAACTTAAACAAGCATTCCCATACATGGAAACACACAACACTTCCTTCCAAATACCTGAGGTTGAAATTCTGATACAGTAATACAGTGGACCCCCGCATAGCGAACGCCTTGCATAGCGAACAATCCGCATAGCGAACGCTTTGTTCGCCAAAATTTTGCCCCGCATAGTGGACAAAAACCCGCTCAGCGACCTTCGTCCGAGACGCGTCCAATGTGCGGCCTCAGCCAGCCTCACATGTGCCGCCCGTCCCATTGTTTACCAGCCAGCCTCCGCGGTAACATTCAAGCATACACTCGGAATATTTCGTATTATTACAGTGTTTTCGGTGCTGTTTCTGGAAAATAAGTGACCATGGGCCCCAAGAAAGCTTCTAGTGCCAACCCTGTGGTAAAAAGGGTGAGAATTAGTATGGAAATTAAGAAAGATTTTGAAGGGTTTGGGGCTAACCCTGAGAAGCCTATGCCAGTTGTGGAATCCATTGTGCCTACTTCAAAAATTAAGGAAATGTGTGCACAGTGGGTTGAACTGCAAACCTTTATGGATGAAAATCACCCTGACACAGCTGTTGCAAGCCGTGCTGGTGACTATTTCAATGACAATGTTATGGCCCATTTTAGACAAATCGTAAAGGAACGGGAGGTACAGAGCTCTATGGACAGATTTGTTGTGCGACAGAGGTCCAGTGACTCTGAAGCTGGTCCTAGTGGCATTAAAAGAAGAAGGGAAGTAACCCCGGAAAAGGACTTGCTACCTCAAGTCCTAATGGAAGGGGATTCCCCTTCTAAACACTAACACTCTCTCTCCCCTCCTCCCATCCCATCAATCATCACCAGATCTTCAATAAAAGTAAGTGTCATGTAATTGTGCATGCCTTTTTCAGTTTGTGTGTACTAAAATTAACATTTTTTTGTGGTAAAAAAAATTTTTTTTCATACTTTTGGGTGTCTTGCACGGATTAATTTTATTTCCATTATTTCTTATGGGGAAAATTAATTCGCATAGCGAACATTTCGCATAATGACCAGCCCTCTTGCACGGATTAAGTTCGCTATGCGGGGGTCCACTGTATACATGTCTAGTTACTATTCTACTTAAAGAAAACTTCTAACATACATGTGCAGCAGCAACTGAATTATTAATGTAAAGCTAAAAAATAACACTTTGAGAATAAAGTGTGCAGGTGATAAAAACTGAATATTATGTAAATCATTTTAGGACACTGTATCTAAAAAAAAATACATAATATACTGTATATGAATGTTACATGGATGTGTTGATGTATACATGATTCAAAACAGCATATGATCTCAAATGTGACAACACTTCACAAGATCCTATCTCATGCATACATCTGTCCAACATCAAGTCAAATTATTCATTTGACAAAGAATACACAGTACTTTTGTGAAAAATATTTTTACCTCTTAAGATCATGAACAATATTTTGAACTATATAAGTGTCAAGTTTATAAATACCAGAACTTAAATTTGAAATATTTGAAATGTTGTGCATCATGCTTAATAAAAGATGATGCCACAATATTTCACTGAACTGTAGAATTACAGGGAAGTATTCTTTAGCATTAGTTCAGTCTACACAATGGCCTGTATCCCTCATATGAATAAACAAAGCACTGGATTTTTGTCCATTTAGACATTGTATATTTATGTTGTTTAACTATGGTCTCAAGAGATTTGCCAGTTAGTCCTAAATAAAAGTTATCACAACTTTTACAGTGATAGTGTGAATGATGGTGTTTCTTTTTTGATTCACCCTGTCTTGGTGGGAGATGGCCAGCGAGTTAAGAAAACATATACTATATACATAAGTAAACCCTTTATATAATGTACTTTTACAATTATGGGCAAAATCTACTGTTTATAAAAAGAAACACTGTATGGTTTTGGCTTAAACTCGCAGTGAGTCGTAAAACTCCAGGCCAGTGCATAAACCAGTGGCTTATGCACTGTCGCTGTCGTGTGGGGTTCGAACATGGATTGGGTAATAAACACTCACATTGGATGTTCCAGTGTACATTAGATGAAATATATGGGGAGCGCCAAGCCTGACCTGCCTTCTGCCCTAACGCCTCTACTTGAACCAGCTTGCTGAGTGCCTCGGAGGGCGAGCGGCATTCAAGTCATACTAGGCCAGCAGTAACGGTCAGTGATATAACAGCCAGTGATTCATGCAGGAGGCATTGAATCAGTAACGGTTGGAAGAGTCATTACTACTGACACTACTGGTAACTGATACTACTGAGAGCTCGTACTAGGTCAGCAGTAACGGTCAGTGATATAACAGTCAGTGATTCACACAGGAGGCATTGAATCAGTAACGGTGGGATGAGTCATTACTACTGACACTACTGGTAACTGATACTACTGGTAACTGATACTACTGAGACTGCGAGTTCAAGCCCCACCCATACAGTGGTTTGTTTGCAATTGTGTCATTACAATTTTGTGAGTCCAATGGTTAAATTGTACTTTTAAATACTTTATTTTCAGTGTTTATTGCAATAGTATTATGTGAATGATGGCAAAAATGTTAAATGATGGTGAGTGTTTCTTTCTTTTTTCGATCACCCTGCCTTGGTTGGAGATGGCTGACGTGTTGAAAAAAAAAATTCTGTAAATTGTGTCCAGGGAACAGGTGGAGTTTGAACCCATGGTAAGTAAGTGGTAAAACTCCAGGTCAGTGTGTAAGCCACTGGACCACCTGGGTACAATAAGATTCATCCAACTAGGTATATTTAAGCACCATATGGAGGTTAGCCAGCTGGTCCAGTGGCTAATGCTCTAGCCTGGAGTTTTATGACTTGCTTGCCATTGGTTCAAACCCTACCTGTTCTGTGGTTTGTTTGCAATCGTGTTATTACAGTTTTGTGAGTCAGAGTACATTAGTGAACTCTTTCAATATTTATCAACATTTTTTATAATGGACACCCCCCCTAGTAGTTTGTTATATCAAGGGTTTACTGTGTGTGTGTATGTAGTTGCCAATATGTACTCACCTATATGTAGTTGCAGGGGTCAATTTTTTGCAGATCCTGACCCCACTTCTTCGCTAGTCACTACTAAGTTTACTTTGTGTAATACACACTCCTTGTGTATACACTTCTTGTGTATACATATAAATTTGGGGAAGGATATGTGTGTGTGTGTGTGTGTGTGTGTGTGTGTGTGTGTGTGTGTGTGTGTGTGTGTGTGTGTGTGTGTGTGTGTGTGTGTGTGTGTGTGTGTGTGCATGTGTATGTGTAATGTTAGTACCAGTACAAAGTTGAATTAGAACCCATAAATTTTGATAGCCTTTATTTTATGAGTTCAAATCCTGCTGGGTGCTAGTGTTTTCACATATTTTCAAGCAATGATATGCTTGTCAGTCATTTGCTTCTCCTGAGCATCCGTCATTTTGAGGTGGACATTATTTTTTCCCCGACCACGGAAGTCATCCATTGAGATGTGACATCCACATGCTTTGTACAACTGGTAACAACCTTTTAGTGGAAGGAAGCTGGGGAAGAGGGGAAAAAGTAATGAAATGATATATAATGAAAATCTATAAAATGATAAATACATACCATTGTCATACTGCTAATATACTACAGTCATGCATCGTTTAATGACAGGGATACGTTCTGAGAAATGTGTCATTAGGCGACTTTGTCATTGTGTAAATATCATAGTGTACAAGGCTGCTGCCAACTTAATACAGCATACTGTTTTACAGTAAACTTTTTTTTATAAGTAAAAAGAGTTCACTCTAGAATAATGGTAAAGAGTACAGTACGTATAGTAGTATATACATAAACCAGTAACATAGTTGTTTATTATCATTATCAAGTATTATGTACTGAACATAACTGTATGTGCTACACTTCTATATGACTGGCAGTGCATGGGACCACCTTCGTATATGTGGTCTGTTGCTGACTGAAACATCATTATGCGGTGCACGACTGTATCTAAAGGTCATGTATCTACTGGTTGCTGAAACAGTGTACAGTCTTCCTACAAAATCACAGGAATTTATATTCCTAGAGGCCTGCAAAACTAAAAACCACAGATAGTACAAAATTAAGCCTGCACAACAAATTTTGTTTGGATTTCATTTATTGTGTGTGTCAGAGACTGTATCACTGTAATATATCACTGTAATCTAGTTAATATTGACAGTCACAAGAAATAATGAATAGAATGAAAAGTCTGAGCTGCTGTGTGGATGATCACCAACCCCTGTGCCAGACAACACACCCCACCACACTTCAAGAGCTTGAACTTAACATACAAAACATACATTCATATTAGTGTAACTACTATATATACAGAACATTAAACTCAAATAAAAACCCTCCTCTCAAATTTCTCCTTGATAACTACAACAGGCATAACATAAGGCACAAAACACTCTTCGACATCCCTTGCATCCGTCTTACCCAATGCAAAAATGCAATAGACATAAAGGGCCCTAAGATCTGGAATTCATTGCCTGAACCAGCAAAAGGTCCCCTGCCTAGAAATCAATTTAGGGCTATAATTAAAAAAAACATCTCATCTCCCAAAACTAACCATACCATCACTATGCTAAAGCTATATGTGGAGGCCCTAACAGACCACAGCAGAACCCAGGGAAAGCCGAGAAGGGAAAATGACAGGCCACTGAGCCCAAGTACATTAGCTAGTGAAACTGAAGAAAGGAAAGCTGCAATGGAGGAAATCAAATTGAATGAGGGGATACACAGGGATATGCAGTGGGAGAATGAAAGGGTGAGGTCAGTCTTTGTGTATGGGCTCCAGGAAGTTGAAGGGGAAACATATGAAGCAATAAAACAAGGGGGAAAAAAAGCAATTGAAAGCATCATGAAAGCAATAGGAGAAGACGACATGACCCAGCTGGAAAATTTTCGGAGAATAGGGGGGTTTGTAAAAAAAAGAACCCGGGCCCAGTGAAAGTGACCTTCAAGGCAGAATCGACTCGGAACAGGATCCTGCAGGAGAAAGCACGATTAAGGGGCATGCCGGCATACAGGAAGGTGTATCTCGACCGCGACAGAACACAAGCAGAAAGGGAGAAACAGAGAGAGATGGTACAAAGGCGAAAGGAGGAAAGAGAGGGGATGGAGAAGACAGACAGGAGATCCCAGACACAGGAAGATCAAATACAGCCTCCCTCACAACTTCCTATAGAAGCCTCCCAACCAGGTCAACCCCAGTGCAACCAAACACTCTAAACCAAAACACCCATGCCACATCCAATGCCCCCACCCACTGCATTACAAACTCCACCCCCACAGCAACCACCCATAGTTCCTTATCAGGTCTCCCACTTCCCCAACCCCAATACACCTCCCATACCACAATCTTAGAAAAGAAGTTGAAGGTGTGGTATACAAATGCAGATGGAATAACAAATAAGTATGAGGAGTGGCACGAAAGAATCAAGGAGACATCCCCAGACATAATAGCACTCACAGAAACAAAACTCACCAGAATAATAACAGATTCAATCTTTCCACCCGGATATCAAATCCTCAGGAAAGACAGAGGGAGGAGAGGGGAAGGAGGAGTTGCACTGCTCATTAAAAACCAGTGGGGGTTTGAGAAAATGGAAGGAATGGATGGCATGGGCGAAAGGGACTACTTAGTAGGAACAATCCAGTCTGAGGGACATAAGGTGATAATTGCAGTAATGTACAACCCACCACAGAACTGCAGGAGGCCAAGAGAAGAATACGATGAGAGCAACAGAGCAATGGTCGACATACTAGCCAGGAGAGTACACATGGGGGGAGCAAAGTTACTAGTTATGGGTGATTTCAATCAAAAGGAGATTGACTGGGAAAACCTGGAGCCCCATGGGAGTCCTGAAACATGGAGAGCCAAGATGATGGATGTGGTACTGGAAAATCTCATGCATCAACATGTTAGAGACACTACCAGAGAGGAGAGGATGAACCAGCAAGACTGGACCTTGTATTCACCTTGAGTAGTTCTGACATCGAGGATATCATGTATGAAAGGCCCCTGGGAGCTAGTGATCATGTGGTTCTGTGCTTCGACTACATAGTGAGCTCCAAGTGGAGAGAGCAGCAGGAATAGGTGGGAAAAACCAAACTACAAAAGGGGGAACTACTCAGGCTTGAGGAACTTCTTTCAAGACATTCAGTGGGAGAGGGAACTGACAGGAAAACCAGTACAAGAAATGATGGATTATGTGGCAACAAAATGCAAGGAGGCAGAGGAGAGGTTTGTTCCTAAGGGAAACAGAAATAATGGGAAGAACAGAACGAGTCCTTGGTTCACCCAAAGTTGTACGGAGGCAAAAACTAGGTGTACTAGAGAATGGAAAAGGTACAGAAGACAGAGAACTCAGGAAAATAAAGAGATTAGCCGAAGAGTCAGAAACGAATATGCACAGATAAGAAGGGAGGCTCAGCAGCAATACGAAAATGACATAGCATCGAAAGTCAAGACTGACCCGAAGCTGTTGTACAGCCACATCAGGAGGAAAACAACAGTCAAGGACCAGGTAATCAGACTGAGGAAGGGTGATGGGGAATTCTCAAGAAACGACCAGGAGGTATGTCAGGAGCTCAACACAAGATTTAAAGAAGTATTTACAGTGGAAACCAGTAGGACTCCAGGAAATCAGAACAGGGGGGTGCACCAGCAAGTGCTGGATGAGGTACATATAACCAAGGAGGAGGTGAAGAAGCTGCTATGCGAACTTGACACCTCAAAGGCGGTGGGACCAGACAACATCTCTCCGTGGGTACTTAAAGAGGGAGCAGAGATATTGTGTGTACCGTTAACAAAGATCTTCAACACATCATTTGAAACTGGGCAACTCCCTGAGGTATGGAAGATGCAAATGTAGTCCCAATTTTTAAAAAGGGAGACAGACATGAGGCACTAAACTACAGACCTGTATCACTAACGTGTATAGTATGCAAGGTCATGGAGAAGATCATCAGGAGGAAGTGGTGGGGCACCTGGAAAGAAACAAGTGTAATAACTGACAACCAGCATGGTTTCAGGGAGGGAAAATCCTGTGTCACAAACCTACTAGAGTTTTTATGACAAGGTGACAGAAGTAAGACAAGAAGAGAGGGGTGGATCGACTGCATTTTTTTGGACTGCAAGAAGGCCTTCGACACAGTTCCTCACAAGAGGTTACTGCAAAAGCTAGAGGATCAGGCACACATAACAGGAAGGCACTGCAATGGATCAGAGAATACCTGACAGGGAGGCAACAACGAGTCATGGTACGTGACGAGGTGTCAGAGTGGGCGCCTGTGACACGCAGGGTTCCACAGGGGTCAGTCCTAGGACCTGTGCTGTTCTTGGTATATGTGAATGACATAACGGAAGGATAGACTCAGAAGTGTCCTTGTTTGCGGACGATGTGAAGTTAATGAGAAGAATCAAATCTGATGAGGATCAGGCAGGACTACAAAGAGACCTGGACAGACTACAAGCCTGGTCCAGCAACTGGCTCCTTGAGTTTAACCCTGCCAAATGCAAAGTCATGAAGATTGGGGAAGGGCAAAGAAGACCGCAGACACAATATAGTTTAGATGGCCAAAGTCTGCAAACCTCACTCAAGGAAAAAGATCTGGGGGTGAGTATAACACCGAGCATATCTCCCGAGGCGCACATCAATTAGATAACTGCTGCAGCATACGAGCGCCTGGCAAACCTACGGATAGCGTTCCGATACCTCAGTAAGGATTCGTTCAAGACTCTGTATACCATTTACGTCAGGCCCATACTGGAGTATGCAGCACCAGTTTGGAATCCACACCTAGTCAAGCACGTCAAGAAATTAGAGAAAGTGCAAAGGTTTCCAACAAGACTAGTCCCAGAGCTACGGGGATTGTCCTACGAAGAAAAGTTGAGGGAAATCGGCCTGACGACACTGGAGGCAAGGAGGGTCAGGGGAGACATGACAACGACATATAAAATACTGCGCGGAATAGACGAGGTGGACAAAGACGGGATGTTCCAGAGATGGGACACAGACACAAGAGGTCACAATTGGAAGTTGAAGACTCAGATGAATCAAAGGGATGTTAGGAAGTATTTCTTCAGTCATAGAGTAGTCAAGCCGTGGAATAGCCTAGAAAGTGAAATAGTGGAGGTGGGAACCATACATAGTTTTAAGGCGAGGTATGATAAAGCTCATGGAGCAGGGAGAGAGAGGACCTAGTAGCAATCAGTGAAGAGGCGGGGCCAGGAGCTGTGACTCGACCCCTGCAACCACAAATACTTGAGTACAAATAGGTGAGTACATACTCAATTATGTATTCCCACATCATAATTTCAACAATTACTCTGAACCTTTTATCCACTGTTGACAGGAATATAATTGAATCATTGTTTTCACAAAAAGCATTTTTGAATATATGAATACTGTATATCTATTGTCTTATATAAATTAGATTCACTTATAATTAATAATCTACTGTACAACTATGATATAATTAATATTCTACTGTACAACTATGATATAAT